TAAGAAGCCGAAGAAGCTTGACATCAACAGAGTGGATGAGAAAACAGCCCAAGGGATTCACGAGGCCCGAGGACAAGAATGGGAAAAGTACAAACAGTACAATGCAGCAGTTCCCATTATGGGACCAATGCTAGAAGGCCTACTTCGAGAAGGACACATCCCGATCCCAAGCCAGTGGGTGGATGTCGACAAGAACGAGTTCAAGAAAGGTCGGAGCGACTACCAGCCAAGGTACAGGAGCAGACTGGTTTCGTGCGGGAACTACGAGAACGTCTCCCGAAATGAGCTAAGGTGTGATGCGCCCACGGTGGACGCAGAAACCCATTGTCTGATCGCAAGTTACGCAGCTTGCCGCAAGATAAAGCTCAGGTGCGGGGATATCTCTTCGGCATACTTTCAGTCAGAACCGCTGGAAAGAGTAATCATCATGAGGCAGCCGCGAGGAGGATTGCCAGGTGTGCCGCCAGAAGCTATGTTGCTGTGTAGGTTGCCGGTGTACGGCACAATGGATGCTGGCAGAGGGTTCTACACACGTCTGTGCAATGTGTCATGTGAGGAAGGACTCAAGGTGAGCAAGATTGCAACTGGATTGTACTACGTGCTAGGATCTGACGGCCTTCCTGCAGTGCTGCTGGGAACCCATGTAGATGACCTGCTTTGGTGTGCGACGCAAGAAGGAGAAGAGATCATGGACAAGATCATGGCCAGGTTTGACATGGGGAAGATTGAGGATACGGATTTCCGGTATTGCGGCCGGAGGTTTAGACAGGATGCCGATTTCAACGTGACCATCGACACGGAGGACAACACAAGGTCCATTCGGCACATCAGTATCGATCCGAACCGCAAGGGCACAGAAGCAGCAACGGAACAAGATGTGACACGGTTGCGCAGTGTAGTAGGCTCGTTAGCGTGGGTTGCAAGGTACTCGCGTCCGGATTTGTGCTACCGAGTCAACTGCTTGCAGCGTGCTTGCGCGAGGGCAACAGTGGCCGACTTGAGGGATGCCAACCGAGTGGTGGATCTAGCCAAGGCGGATATGGGAATCGCAATGTATTACCCAGCGGGAAAATTCTCATGGCATGATGCGTGTGTGGTCAGCTTCTCGGATGCAAGCCATGCCGGAGAAGAAGGGCTACGGAGCCAACAAGGCCGATTCCACTACATCACATCGGAGAAGATGGTGGATACAAATGAGCACGACGCGCACATCATCGGCTATGGTTCGACAACCATTCGCCGGGTATGTCGAAGCACCCTTCAGGCCGAAACCTATGCGATGCAGACTGCGGTCGAGAGTGGTGACCGGCTACGGGCTATTCTGTGCGAGTTGAGGGGCCAGTTGCCGGTCCTCAAGGATTGGATGGAAACCACTCAGAAGGTCATGAGACATGAATGGGTTTCCGATTGCCGGAGCTTGACAGACCATTTAAATTCATGCCAAGCGAGCAAGGTGACCGATCGACGACTCGCCATCGAGCTAGAATCGATGAGACAACAGCTATGGGAAGGCGATAGCAAAACCTACACGGTCTACGATGGCCATGGTGATCGCCTTCGCTGGACCGATACGGCGACACAGCTCGCCGACGCATTGACAAAGTCGATGAAGCCATATCAGCTTTTCAAGGTAATGCGTGAAGCCAAGGTTTACCTCAGTGACCCAGAGAAGAAGATCAAGAAGGGCACACAACAAGGTGACCAGTGACAAACCTGAGACTCCTTTAAGGACGAGGTGTGCTGAGTCATGTGAATTGACATGGAAATCGCGAGCTAGTAGTAGCCTGGAATAGCGATCTAGTAGTTGCCGCAGAGTCGCTTGCATGTTTTTGGTGTACAGTTTTAGTCTTGACAGCCGGCATGCGTCAGTAGATAAGACGGGTGAGAATACCTCCTCGTTTTGCGATGTGTAGCCTGAGCGCATGCCTAGGAAGCCTTCATTGTAAAGTGCTAGTGCGGTAGGAAACATCAATTGTATGTGCTGACCGTAACGTTCCTCTCGAAGGCGCCTTGAGCTAGCTGGCAAAAAGTAGCTGTCCGAAGCGCTTTGTTACCAAAGAGATTTTGTTTTTAGTTTTTGTGATAGCAAAAATGGGTTTTGGGCGCTTTGGCCAAGAAGTCAAAAGACCATACGTGGTTTTGAAAGTTTGGCTCTGACTTTAAAGGTGGTGTTGACTGTTCGGTCTCGCAGTCACAGCAGCAGACGTGCTTCTGAGAGACTTGACCTGAGACCCCAAGGTTTTGAGGCTGTGTTGACTGTCTGGACCCAAAGTCAAAGTAGCAGACGTGGTTTTGGGAGACTTGACCTGACAGGCGAAGGTTTTGAGGTGGTGTTGACTGCCTGGATTCGCAGTCGCAGTAGCAGACGTATTTCGGGGAGACTTGACCTTGGAGTCAAAGTGGCAGACGTGGTTCTGGGAGACTTGACCTTGGAGGCAGGTTTTAAGGCACAAATGTGGTGTTTGGAGGCCTGCCTTCCAGGCATGGGCTTGGCAACCAAGTCAGGGTGTGCGCCGCTCCAGGCGCCATGCCTTCAGAAAGGTGCGCCAAAGGAGCCGGCGGAGCGGTTTTGGGTGCGCTTGCCAGCGAAAAAGGGGGCGTGGCATCTGGAGCGGCGCGGCGTTTTAAGTGGTTAAGTTTACCGTGCGCGACGCCGCGCCCGGCAAGTTTATCCTGTCTGAAGAATGAGCATGTGAAACGGCACTTGGTGTGCATGAAAAAAAATGTAGCATCAGACGTGGCTGGACTGGCCGCTTCCAGATGCACCCCGAAATTTTGCCATCAATGGCCGCATGCAAGATGACGCTTCTGATGAACATTCCAACTTGCGCAGTTCTGCCAACCAGTATTGCAGCTCTAAGATGCTTGCAGCTTGTCCTTGGAATCAGCCACTGTCCTTAAGAAGCTGCCTGACAAACGCCTTTTTGCAGCTACAGACAGAAGTCTCTTGTGCGATGCTTTTTGATCAAGATCAAAGATTTCGTGAGTTCGACAAGTGTGCTCGGAATCAACAGTCCAATGAAATCTGCTGTCTCTATCTGGTGGATTGGATGGCTTGATCGCGTTTGATGGAAAGGGGTTCAAGGTTTCAAGGTGGATTTGGTTGACTTTGACTTTTGCAAGTGCTGCAACCGAAGTTCGAAGGCGTCCATCATTCGCATGCTGTGGAGTTAGCAGGTAAGCTTTGCAAGTGCACATAGTTTGGTGCATTCTGCTGTCACCAATGTTGTGGTCAAGGCTAAGCTGAAAGTGCAGTGCAAGCGAAAGTTCAGCGCAAAGTTGAGACTGGGTTTGCACGCTGCGAAGTCGCACCACACATGTGGAAAGCAAAAACTGCGCTCTTAAGTTTCTTTGAGTTTGTCTTGACACCAATTCAGTTGGATGATTTCATGAAACTGCTTGTGTCATCCGAACAGACTGCAAGTGTCGCAGAAGAAAGTGTGTTGACCTCCGAAATGTTGCACAGGTTCATGGACTGAACAGCTCGAAGGGTCATCAGTGGAGACGAGGCCGCATGAAACCATTTTTATGCTCACCACTGGGAACCGACTCTAAAGTCAAGTTCCATCTGGAAGTCCGAAAGAGGGTGTTGGGTTTCACCGTCATTTCAAGCGCACATGACATGTTTACTTATGCTTCTATCAAGGCATGATCCCAGCGTAAGCGTTTGGATGTTAGCCCGACGGAACGCGCTCGCAGTTGTTTTAAGAGAAACTTTAAAGCACGTCGAAAACAAATCGTGGCAATTGGTTTTTGCATGCATGACACAATCAATGTTTTGAAGTTTTTACCACAAGCATGAACATTCCAGCAAAGTTTTCACGCACCATGCATGCGTATTGGCTCGTGTTGCGAAGCAGAGTCAAAATGGAGGTGCGCATCGACCGAGCAGGCTTGTTATTGAATCCAGTTGTTTTTTGCAACACGTGCTTCGTGGGCAAGTGAGTGAGTGCGTGTGTGTGTGTGTGTGTATATGTGTGTGTGTCTGTGTGTGTGTGTGTTTCGGCATGCTGTCAACAGCCCTTTTCTACGTCGTCTGAGAGGTGATGGCACCAGCGCAAGTCGCAAGCAAACGTGATTTCGCCTCGTGACAGCTTCAATGGGCTTTGGTCGGTTTGGGTCCAGTATTGCACGCATTGGAAGCAACACAACTTCAATGATTGTTGCAATGCATAGCCCGGTTGCAATGCATAGCCCGGGCAAGACAAGCAGCATGCTTTTCACAGGATGGCAACACATGTTTCGTTTTTTGGGGTTTCAGAACTTCGGCAGAAGTTGAGTTATCGATGTGAGATACAAGGTGGTCGAGTGATTGCGGTTCATGCAGCTTAATCGGCCGTAAGTTGGGACAGGACGATTCAGATCTGCTTGCTGGTTGTGTGATATGTCGAAAACATGCCTGTCTGTCGTTGGACGTATGTCTAAGGCCAAACGTGGCGTGCGGGATGAAGATTTGCCGACCATCGTGGCATCTCTACTGCTTGTGATTCATGACAGCGCTTGTTGACCTGCAAATCCAGAAGGTGTTGCAGTTGAGGCAAAAAGCGACATTCACGAAGGTTTAACGTCATTAGACTTCTCCAGGCAGGACCGGGAGCATGCTAGCACCGCCGGCAGTTGGATTTACCAGTCTGCAGGAACCGACTCACTGCTGCGGGTTTAGAATGCTTGCTGACATCCTGCGCTTTCACGCATCTTGGCAAGAAGGGTTCGGCATCGGAGCATATCAACGCATGCTTCGATCGAGGAGTTTGCGAGTTGTGCCTTGGCTCAAATAGGCGAGGCACCATAAGTGGATACTGCCATGAACGCCCTATTTTCATGCTCTAGGTCTAACAGTAACCGGACTGGTTTTGAGGTGAAGCTGTACAAAAACGCGCTGGGTGATGATGCGGCAGTCTCACTGACGGCGCTCTGCTGCTCTGCTCGAAGGAAGTTTCGATGAAGTCGGCGCAAGATTGCGGAAGCCGCAGCATTGAGGTCACAGCAGTCCTGGGCTGATGGAAATGAAACTCTCCTGCATTCGGCGAAGAAAGCACCACAGCAGCCGCAGCAACTGTCGTCACACACCATCTGATCTTGTGTGAGCAGCTGTCCGAGAATTCTGGCAATCGAGTACTGTCCGCGAAGGCATCTGTCCCACAACTCATTCACATCTGTTGGTGCGAAGGCTTGATGTGCTAAAGATACACGTTCGTGACATTTCGTGATCTAGTCTTCTGTGCAGGCCATTGTTGACGCTGCCTTGTCGGCTGAGAAGCTGCAGGCCAGGAGGATGTTGCCTACGTTTAAGCTCCATGAGAATGATAATGTCCTTTGTGTGAGGGCCTTCCTCCTCTTTGGCTGCGACTGGAGCGCAACAGGCTGTGACGCATGTTAGTCATTCTATTCGCTATGTGAGCTTTTTGACCCAAGCTGGCTTGGTGGCAAGCAGAGTTCTGGCGTGAGTTCTCCCAGCATCTCCCAGCTGGACCCTGTGCGCGGCCGGAGTCGCTTCTTGCGGTTTTTCATCTTGGTGAAGTATTTTCGGGCAGCAGTTCTTGCTGGAATCCATTTTCGTCGGCCTTGACTCAAATGACTCAAGTATCGAAGCATGCAGAAGGGCCCACAGCTCCAGCCTGTTTGCGTCTTGTGACTGTGCCAGGGTGGAGGAGGCTCCCGCGCTCCTGGAGAGGTGGCAAAGTCAGCGTCGCTCCATTTGCAGTGCGACTTGGAGCGCAAAGCTGCTGGAGATCGGTGGTCCGGTGTTCTCGGTGGGTGTTTTGCTCACGTCCTACCGCTGGAGGTCACCGAGAGTTGCCGACGACCGCATCTTTGCTTGAGAGAAGCTTCGGAAGGTTTAGCGGCTTTAGCATTTAGGGTGTGTTGTATTGTTGGGTATCTGATCATCGTGAGTTTGTCTGACAAGGTCTTGCTGCTTGGGGATGCGGGCTTCTTGCCTGCAATTGTCCGGAGCTAGTGCTTCGAAGACCTGCACAGCAATCTTCTAGGGATCGAGATGCGCTGCTTTCTTGGCATTGGCTCCATCCTGCTTCAGGTGCACCTTCCTCACTTCACCGCCCAGGAGACAGATCCAGCCACTCAGTAGCTACAAAGAGCGCAGTTCGCAGCTGTGCCTAGCTGCGAGTTATGTGAACAACGAACAGGTACCCTCGGGGCCAAGAATCCATCGGCAAGAGAAGGCCACCAGACTATGTGTTCGCATCACAATTTTAGGCTGGTTTGGTTCGACTTCGAAACTACATGTTCCAGCGAAGGTCACAGTCTCAGCTGAGGTTTCGTCACAGGTGAAGTACTCCGGCTCCGACATGAAGCCTTTGCGGCACCTGAAGCGCCGACCTCCAGCGGCTTTGCCCGCAGCTTTGGAGTCATCCGCCCCAAAACGCCCACATTCCGGTCGAGCCGCTGCCAAAGAGCTTTCCATCGCTGCAGGAGTCCTGGAAGCTTCCGCTCCGCGGCTCCCGGAGTCCTGTCCGTGTCGCGGGCCCAGGCCAGGCCCAGCTGGCAGAGACCCGCCCCCAGACTTTGCTCTGCATGGCTATGTCGTCATGCCGCCCTATGCCGCTGTGCGTGTAGGCTCCGAAGACGGGGAATCAGTGCAACAGGAGACGCCCGAACCAAGATGACACGCGCCGACTCCCATTCCACGACTCATGCCTCGCATCCGCTGACAGGAGCAGTCGAAGTGCTTCATGATGAGCCGGAGCGAGATTCTGCCAGCAGCAGAGAAGACTGTGTTCAGCTTGTGCACAGCCACGAGATCGCGTGAGTCGCCAAGGCCACGCGAGCACGAGGAGCCAGTCAGCAGTGCTGCTCTCTGGCTCCGCGGCAGAGAGTGCCATGAAGGGGCCGCGGGCTGTTGGACTGACCCGATGCCAAGGCTGTCCTCTTCGAGAATCGCAAGCATGCCGAATGATGCCCCAGAAGGCCCCAGTACTGGGCCCAGTACTCCTGTCCCAGAATTTGTAGGGGACTCTCCAAATTTCAGCTCCGCCTTGTGGTGCGAATATTGCGATCATTATATTCGGAGGGTGACTTGATGCAGAGCCAGCAGAGAGCTGCTTCTGGATGGCTGCAGTTAGTGTTCATTCTCGCTGTCAAAGCTGAACGCCAGTTCGAATCCCTTCTTCGCATAGCCAGTGCATGCAGGGCTTTGTCAAGCTGGCGTGGGGTACGCGGTCTTGTCTTTGAGATCGGTTTGGCTGATCGGCCACCGAAATTATTCAAGTGATTTGGATACTTGCGGACTACACTGGAAGTGAAGCTTATATGTTTAGTAGGATGGACAATCAAGTGCCTCGAAGACCCAGGTGTACATGTTGCTGGTGCATATTGATACCGAGGCTGCGACGACATGGACGATGGGTTGAAGCATCGAGCCACCTGCATGCACATTGCCAGAGAAGTGAGAGGGTGGGTTTTAGTTGACGCGCCAGCAGCATCTGCATGGAGGTACTCGACATTGCTGCTGCCTGGGTGGCTCAGCTGAAGCCTTTTGCTGTTGTGCTGTCGTTTCTCATGTCGAGGGTCGAAGGCTCCAAGTCTTTTCTGGTTCTCTCGAGGAGGTGGAGGTCCAACGGCAGCTGGCGCTTGAGGCGGGGACTGCAAGGTCCCCGACACCTCCACGCAACATCACCGTGAGGGCATGCATGGCAACCACATGGTGACTACGACGCCAACATGCTAGTTCAGCCGAGATATGCAGTAGCGCAAGGACGCGGGTCTTGTCCTGATGTCACGACAGTGTCAGGCGGGCAAGCGTGATTCTGATGCCGAAAGTACCGAGGATCCGGATGAAACTTTGCTAGCAGTTGGAGTGACGATTGAAATTGAGTCGACGCAATGGACTTAGGACCATAGCGATGTCGTGACCACTCTGTCGTGTTTTTTCACATTTGAGTTTGTGTTGCGAAGCTACAGCTCGTAGGCTAATCATAGGCTGAAGCTGCAATGCATCACACAAGTCTCGTCGTCGAGGCAAACCGGCATGACACCAACAGAACGCTGGTGTCGCCGTGGCTGCGCATGGACGACTGCACGAGTGCCTCGATGTTGTTGACCCCAGGGTTTAATTCTGAGCCACAGTTTTGCACCGGGTTAGGCTGCACAACAACCTATAGACGGTGAGTGCCGCATGCCAGGAGCCCGGATAATAAACATGGTCGAAGAGCCCGAAATAGACTTCGACTCCGAGGCAGGGGCTGACGGTTGACTGCTTCTTCCGATGCAAAAGCCGATGTTTCCTGTGACCCGAAGGAAAGCGAATGGGATGAGCCACAAGACTCAGACGAAGAAGGCATGATTTGTTCAGCATGTGACCGTGCTGTTGGAAGAGAGCATGCTGAGACTGTCAGTAGTCAACATTAAGTAAAAACTTGACTAAACCTTTAGCCACCTGCCAATGTCAGTGTTGATGACTGCTAGCTCGCGGATCAAGGGTTCCGAAGCGTTGCAGAGAACCTCATCCTGTTTCAGCCTGGAGTTTCCAGATGAGCAGGAGAATGAACAACAGCAGCATGCGGGCCCTACTTGATGCCTCAACTCGTCGGACATTTGCGAAAAGGTGCTGAAGCTGACATGCCTGGTAGGTATGGTGGACATGGCAGATGAGGGACGGCTTCTCGCTCGAAACACGAGAAACATCGAGAAGCTGAGCATCTGAAGCAGATTGAATGCCTCATTTTAAGGCGGGGGGATGAAGCCATCGCAGAATCTTGGAACTGCAGTTGTGGGCCACGTATCGAAGCGATCTAACCAGCCGCGTCAGCCTTTCCGCTGCCTTTATTACGTGAGGACCAGTCAGTTGTGGCTGCGGCAATGGATGCCCAGGACTTCGGAGCAATCTTTGCCACTCTGAATGCTTCCTGAAAGCGTGATATTGCATAACCGGCACCGATCCACGGACTGTCGTGACGTCTTGCTCTGCTTGTTTGCATGGTCCCTGAGCTATGAGCGAAATTGCATTGGCGTGGCATTCAAGTACAACAGCCAACGGCCGGTGTCAAACCCTGCAGGTGACTGGATGCAAAGCCAGAGAAAGACAGAGTTGCGCTGTGGAGTAGAGCATGCGCGAGGATGCCTTCAATTTTGTTACCTGCTACCTTTAGAAGGAGAGTTTTTCACCAATCGACTTTTGGTATCTTTCTCGCGTTGAGTCGAGTGCAGGATTACTACTCGGGACAGCAACAAGTTTGAGAAATGCTACCTTTTGAGAAACGCCACTCTCGGCAAGCAACTGTTTGAGGCGAAACCGCCTGCTCACCGCGGGCTTTGGGATAGCCAAGCCATCTTGAAGTTGCAAACCGCTGGTCCTTGTGCAGAGTCGCTTGCTGGACAGACGGCCTGTTCGCCCAGAAGACAGTTCTGCAAAGAAGTCGTTCAACTTTGTCGCGCAAGCCACTCGCTAGGCTACATGTTCGAGGTCCAATCGTTTAGCAGGCTTGTGCAAAGGGTGCATGTTCGCGAGTCACTACATCGCAGCCATCGCCTTGTGTCAGTGTCGTTGTGTGTCGAATGAACTGTTCCTATCTTCGGAGTCAGTCAGGACTCGTTCCTTAACGTTCGAATGCACATCTACGAGCTTTCGTGAGCATCCTACGATCCTAGTCCAGTCTCAGATGGGGGATGTGCTGGCGGTTCCGCTTCCTGAGCCAGCTCTCGTTTCGGATGGTGTGTAGCTGTTGTTTCGTAGCCGGGAGACGTTCCGGCTCCCGTCATGAATGGTCTGGTGTCGCAGGCCCGTGCCATGGTTCAGTGAACCGACATGCACTGGAAGGTTCTGGCACAGACAGCGTGGATCGTCCCTTTCTTTATTCGTGCCGCCATGGTACCAGCTCCACTCGAACCACAAGATTGCCATTATGTCCCGTCCACTTGACCTGCCGCTTTTGCCTACGTGTTTTGCCAACCATGGGAGACCGGTGGCTCCCAATGGTGCAACCGGAAGCCTCTGGAACGTCCCATCAAACTGTCAGGTCTGGAGGCGCATGTCTACACCTTACGACGGGGCACATTTCTGCATTACCCTACGTACGATCTGTCAAAGCTTGCACAACATCTCCCCACCGTATGACATTGACCCCAACTTCGCAAGCGCCCCGTTTGAATTATTCCACAATGCTGTCTAGGGGAGCCGACATGAGGCGAACCGCGGGACCACGGCCTTCCCATGCTCTACGCCAACGTCAACTGATTTATCAGGTGATCCGGTCACGAATTCCCCGTGTCTGTCGGGTGAGCTTTATCACTGACTACAGAAGCGTCCTTTTCGACTAAGCTTTTTTCCACGGTGGCCGCAAAATTTACCCTAGTCCTGCCAGCGTCTCACCCGAAAAGGATTGCGAAGAGCCCTGTACAGACATCTTCATGGCATATGTAGTTTTCCTGAACTTGTTCCCCATGCTGTCTGCTCCCGCCGACTATGTTTTCGCCGCTTGTTAGTCCCATTGAAAGGGCTGCTGACGAGTGGTCTCGCCTGTGGACACGCTCTGCGCGACTGAGAGATAGAGACACGTACTGGAATTCGGGTTCTTGGTTCGTATCAGGTCTTGACGAGTTTGGGTACGTCGGGCACCCCCCCAATCTGGGTCAAATCAAGATGCCCTGGACTGATGCTAGCTCTCAGGGGCCAGGCTTTGAGGCTTTAGCCGATTCACGTAATCCCCGTTTCAACTGTCAGCGGACAGTGGGTCGTAATACGTAAGGGCAGTCCAGACCTTGAACCTTGGCTGGTTGGCTCGTTATGTGGTGAATTTATCCCAATGGCAAACTGTAACCCCAAATCACCAACAACGTCTGCCACGTTTGACATCGTTTGACCTCTTTCGGGCATCCTTTCTGAAACTTCGCATGCCTCATCCAGGTATGGGCTCCAGGCATTGAGAACACTCAATGTGGGCTACGATGCATTCCCAAGTCTGTCCACATCCTCAAATCGAGGCATGGACGTCAGCTGCCCGTTGAGCAACCCATTGAAGACAATCGCTTCAACAGCATTTGGCAGTTCATCACTGAGACTACCCAACCTTGATGCTTGTCAAAACTGCAAGTATCACTTGGCTGTTTTATTCTGAACAACTGATAAGTTGAATCGCCTCGCAGCGCTTCGCAACGCCTTGCAGCGCCTCGCCTGTGAAGCTTCAGGCCTTGAGCAAACCGCAGCCCGAGAGAAGCCGACAACCCCAAAGCACGGCATCCGCAGCGCTCGCTGCGCTCGCAGCCCGGGCCTCGGAGAAATGTGCTTTTCGCAGGTCGAGTCGCATGTCGCTTCACCTTTGCTGCAACTGCGCGCTTTCACATTAATTTGCCAAGAGACGGGATGACTGCAATATGGCAGAGCACACAAGCCGAAAAGGAAACACGGCACGACATGGCCCTTCAATCACGCAGCACTCTGCAAAGCACGGCATGTTGTCACAGGCATTTCGTTTGAGACACGCGGCATTCGTCATTCGTCCGCCAAAGCCACGTTTTGCAGGAGCAATTGTCCGCGACCTGCCGCCTTCAGCAAACTTTGTGTTTCGCGAGTGGAAATGCGTTGAACGCTGAACAAGCAGAGCGTGTTCGGAAACTTCGCCAGGTGTCGCAGTGCGAATGAAGTTGGTTCGTTTTGTAATGATTGTGAAGCTTCATATCTTCCCGTGTCGTCTGAAAGCATCTTGCCAGTAACCCGTCCTTGCAAATCCTATGCAAGGATTGACTTGTTGTCAGAAGCTGCTTTCTCAAGCCTTGTCGACGACAGTGCTGCGAAAGTTCTTCCTTTGGAAGTCAACTTTTCGAGAGCTTTTCTGAATTACCACCGAAGTACATGTTGGGGCAAGTCTGCCGAACAAATACTGGAAAGTGGTCAGCGGGAGAAACTGCTGCGGTTTCAAACGGAGGGCCTGTTGTTGCATTTGGAGGTCGAGTAAGATAGAAAAGAAAATCCAGCCGAAGCGGGATCTTACGGCACCTTGAGGGAATGTCGAAGCTATCCTTCGTTCTTGCAGGAGCCACGCGTGGTCTACAGTGGAGATGGTTTTTTCGTACTGTTCAAGCCGCCCAAGTGTGTTTGTGAACCGTGGCTTGGATGTAAGTTTTGTTGGGCTCATGCCCGGGTAGCATGCATGCAGTTCTGCATCTGAGGCCAAACACAACTATCGGAGTCGCGCGATATGTGCATCAGTTGGGCATCGAAGACACAGATCATGTGACCAAGATCCAATCAATGCTTCAGAGCGAGTTACTTGTGTATGCACACTGCATTCAGAAGTTTTGGGGTGCTGGATTGATCCTTCCGAGGCCGTTGGGTAAGTCGGCTGCGGCCGAATGAGGTTGGTTTTGTTTGTCCACGCTTTGCAAGGCAATTTGCCATCGATTGGACCTGCCGACGAGTGGCTTGCTGCTTGTTACTTGGCCACACCTCTCAGCCGCAACATTTGCAATAGATGTTGCAATATTCTGTCGAGATCCGAGGTGGGTTCGGATCCAGAAGTACTGGATGACTTGTTGCGGCAACGCAATGCTCGTAGCTGGTGCAAGGCTCGTTTCATTCTGAGTGGCGCGAGATGGTAGCTGCACCCAGCCCTGGCCCATCGCAGAACTATGTCTGCCTGATGCACGGGTGGCTTCCGTCCAGCCAGGCTGGGAGCGAGCCTGCATTGGCATGCCTGTGTGCCACTGTGCGCGATGGGTTTCTCGCAAGGTGGAAGGGACGCTGCAGTCCAAGCTTCGAACGGAGCGCGAGGGACAAGGATACAGGACTCCCGGAGACCGGAGCTACAGGGTGACAAACTAGTTCGGGACGTTTTTGAACAATCTTCAGGCTAGCTAAACATAAAAAGGTGCTTGTCGGACTACTTGTGCTTGGGCTCGCAAAGCTTTGCGAGAGCCTTCATGACAAAGGTTCACATTGCCAACTGCTTCTTAGTCCAAGTTTGTTGAGCCTCTTCTGTCCGACGATTTAGCTTTTCTCTTGTTCGGGCTGTCGATGCTCTCTTCAAGAGTCGTTGGCCTCGCGAGACGTGACACCGGCAAAAACCGAGATCACGAGTGCTTGTACGTGCAGGCGGCCAGTGAAACGCTGGTCACATGTAGGCGGAGTTTCGCAGCCTCCTTTCGTCTAGCATCCTGCAATGAGTCTAATCCACTGACTGAAAGGACATTTGTGGATCCTGAATGGGGCAGCACGGTCGCAGCCAGCATTGCTACCTGCGAAGTGTGATGGAAAGCTGAAGTGGCGTGGACTGCCACTGCCAAGGCTTTAGTGCCATCACACATTATGCTGCACTTCGGCATTACAGATGCGCCGACCCGAGCTTCAAGACCCCTGCACTGTTAGAGAGGGCATTGGATGGTTGCGGCCCGCAGTCTTCACTGTGCGTGTTCCCGAGTGCCCACTGTCTGCAAATCTGGCTCAGGTCGCAGAAGTGGCAGACCTTTTACGCTCATGATGCTGCGCATCATCACAGGCGTGGAAAGCGGATTTTTGGAGCTCCGGTGCAGGTGATGAGCTGCTGAAGCCTCTCAAAGCAGCCTTGCCAGGTCGCACACATCAGATTCGTGTTCATATCGCCGAATTAGGCATAGCTGCCGGCCTGGAAACAGCCGGCATCGCGGGGGATGCATCTGTGCTAGATCAGCTTAAGGTTGAGTCGTGACAAGACGCCTGGGAGCAGGTGTTGCCAGCCATTTGTGTATGGCCAGTCATCGAAGTGAGTTCAATCACTGAGGCCAAGTATCTCGACTCTGCTGCATTTGCCGCGGATGTGGCACTCTTCCAGCGCGCTTCGCAGGGGCTCGCAAAGGCAGCATCGGCTGAAGTGCTAGGGACATCCGGTCGGAATGGCTGCTGATAGTTTTACAAGAAGCGAAGCAGGGTTTCCTGCACAAGACAGAGATGCGTGACAACAAAGCCAGAAAATACACCAACGGCACCACAAGGTTTCTCAAGCTGCCTTGTGCCGAAGCCTTGTTGTACCTTCACTTCAGTCGTGCTCTCTGCTGTCAGCTTTCTGATTGTTGCTTGGTGCTGAGAGGCCGAGACGGCAGGTTAGAGACATACAGCAAGAAAGACGAAGCTCACTCTTGCAGGTTGGGGGGACCCTTTCTTAAATTTCGGCGCTCGTTTGTCCAGGTTATCGAGCCACGACTTTGCCTGCCACTCAGAGTTGCCAGATGCTCCGTTGCTGGCAACTTCTGCTAGAGACCTGAAGCCGCAATCGATGCACCGGCATGGTACACAGGCCTGCATGCGTGCTCACTGGGATTCCGGACTCCGCAGAGCAGATCATATCTTACGGTCGCTCGCCTTCAGCACATCAACCGAAGATCTCTGGCAGCTCGTGGGTCTTGTGGCGCAGTCGCATCTTTAGGCAAGCTCTCGCTTACGCTAGGTAGTCTCCCAAGTGTGCAGTAAGCGCGCTCCGTCAGTGCCAGCAAGTTGCACCAGGCAGAGAGTTCTAGTTTCGCTAGGGGGTTCTAGGTTTGCTCGACGGATTTCATCCTTTTCGCTGAGCTGGGGCATCTTCTGCCGACGCCCATGGCCTCGTGTATCCTGCATTACATTATGAAACTCTAAACTTGCTTTAAGTCCGACCCCCGGCTGTGCAGCTAGACATTGCTGGGAGCAGATGTTGGGATGCTCGGTGACAGAATCAGGTGTCAGATGATTGTGGACCTCAGGCATAAAGTGCCGCTGTCAACTGTGAAGCGGCGAAGCTGTTGAACTTTGCCAGCTTTCTGAGGTGAAGTGTGGCCTTCCCTCGGCTACTTGGTTGACCGCGAGTTGGAGAGTGGCCTTTCAGTGTATCTTCCCGAGGACATGGCCGCCGTCATTAACAACGAACTGGTGGAAGAGATGCAGTGTGCCAACGGCTGCGGATCGTTGGCCGAGAGTGGCCTCTGGATCCTCAGGCTCACTGAAGCGAAGCCACGTGTGCACTGGGGCGTAAGCCACGCTGCCAGGGAGCTCAAAACGGCGGCAGCAAAGGCCCGGCTCCAGGGCTGAGACCGACGCTGACCGACGCAGTTTTGAGGCGAGCTGGCGCAGGGGAGCCCTCTTACTGGCTTTCGAAGCCTGGGCCGCCTGGGTTGGCTGGCAGAGGACGCCTCTTCGGCTCTAGCCGGCTCTGCTGCAAAGGAAGCTTTTTGAGGAAGATGATGGTCGGCAAGCAAACCTCTAGGTGTGTGTTGGGAATCCGGGGTTTCAGCCCCAGTCCTGCAAGCGACATCGCAGCGACATCCAACCTTTCAGAACCGGTCTTGGGAAAGTTTAGCCTTAGACCAGCGATGGTTCCGGAGCCGCACTCGTTACCGGGGGTTTTGGGTGAGTTTCGGGGCGTGGGTTGCGCGTGCCCGGAGATGTTCAGGATTCAGGGTGGTCTGTCCCTGGCGGTTTCCCGGGAACTACTTTGTTTTTCAGGACTTCGGAGGTTGGAATCTGAACCTCGCTTTGGCACTTCGGGGGTGGGGGGTGGTGGTGGTGGCGGGGTAATAGCGACATGATGATGACGTCAAGATGATGACGACCTGGTGATGACGACATGATGATGACGTGAACGTGACATGAACATGACAAAACGATGACATGAACATGACATGTTCATGACATGAGCAATGATGATGACTGCATATATTAGTAATATTAGTATTATGACAGCGACACGGTGATGACGACATGATGATGACGACGATCATGACGACAGGATGATGACATGAACATGACATGCTGAGGTGCCTTCATGCTCGATGCCGAGCCTTCAAAGCAAAATCCCTAAACAGCAAATGCACAAGAACGACTGTAGACCTCAAGCCTTGAACCCGTCTCAGACTCTAAGCCCCCAAACCGCCAAAAACCAAGACTATCGATAACATTTGTCGTTCTCGAGGTGTACGAAGTACTGCAAATACCAGCGAATTTGCCAGTTTTCTTGATGTACTCAAGCATTTCTCCGCACTCGCACACAACAAAACCTCGAGTTCTTGCAACAACACAAGAAACCCAGAACCTTCAACCGGAACACAACAAAATGCACACGACTATCGGGGTTCTGTGTTTTTGTCGAAGTGTACGTGCTGCAAGTACTAATGAATTCGGTGCCCTCTTGCGATTACCAAATGAAACCCAGGGGTTTCGTGATGTTTTCCAGTATTACTCCGCTCCCACAAGACAAAACCTTGAGTTTTCGCATGTTTCCTTGTTAGACTGATGCCTAAACCTTGCTTGCTAACATCTTCGTGGCGCACCTCCCAGCTATAAATACACGCGAAGACAACATGTTCCGAAAGGCGTAGCTCTGTTGTGCAAGTGCAAAATCACTGGTATTTGCGGTACTTTCGTGCTCTTGCAACAGCTTCTGTTATGCTGCCCCATGGTCTCTGGGAAACCCCCCAAAAAGTTTGCCTTCAGGGTTTGTGGCCGTCTTGATTCAGGATTGCATTTAATTCAGAGTTCAGGCTGGGCATGGACAGCGAAACACAACATGTTGATTCTTGCAACTCTGGCTTGTTGTCCCGAGAGGAGAACATACCCGAACCGATCACAATACTCGAGCTATGATCGTCAGGTACTTGCAGGGCGGAAGCCACTACTTGGATCTGTAGAAGGACGCTACTATCTTAGCAAATCCTTTGGGCCCTGGTTGGCTGGGTCTCTGCGGGGTCAACTCGGGGCGACACTGGCGGTTTTATTCTCTGCAGCCGGCTTCCTTTGACTCCGCTCCATAGCAGAGCCGCGCTCTGCGTGTCCTTATGCCTTTGCCACAACAGTTGAAGTCTGGTGTCCTTGCACTTTTGGCTGTGTGCTCTCCATTGCAGAGCCACGTGTTGCGACCACATGCTCCATTGCAGAGCCGCCAAGTGCAGAGACATCTGCGTGTCGCTCTAGCTTCGTTGCAGAGCTTTCCTCCTCGTGGTCCTCGTGTCCGTGTATCTTTGGTGCTGCAGCTTCGTCGCAGAGCCTTGCATGTCCTTATGGCAATGCTCTGCGTGTTCTTATACCTTCACATTGCAGCGCTATCCTGTTGGGCCTGGCACCACCCGCCCCAGTGCAGAGCCATCCTCTGCGTTTCGTTGTGCACTTGGCACCGCTCATTCCACAAATTTGGTAGTGCTGCTTTGTTGCATGTGAAGCATGTTTTGTGCGACAGCGATCTGTGGCAGCTTTTTGGGTCAAGGTGCCCATGTCAAGAGGCCTATGCGTCTACAGGGTCTCTGTCGGGGCTTATCCTGAGTGCTGTGGTCCAGTCCCTTTCGTCAGGACTAAATCAGGCCCCAGCTCAAATCAGCCCTCATTCGTTTGAGCCATTGTGCCGCACCCCTGGGCTGCTGCCTCCTGCTTGGGAAACTGATACCTTTGAGGGTTCTTCTTTCTGGCTTGGTTTGCTTTGCGGAGTCTGCATTGGGCCCATCATTGATATTCTGTACGGTGTGCGACTTTGGTGGCGGCAAGCTACTTCGAGGTGGTGGCTTCAGGTAGCTCGGCCTGCGGGGTTGGGCGTCCAGACTGGCTTTCCGCTCTACCGAGTGCATGAGCACCGAGAGTGAGCTTGCTCTCGAGGTTCAAGCTCTCAGGCTGGAGTTAAAAGCTCTGCGGTTGCGGCTTGAGAGGCAGGAGGCTCTGATCGAGGAGCTGCTCACACGAGGCGAGTTCGAGGTCGTGGAGCCCCCCCGAGGGAGTGATCTTGGGGCTTCTTCTGCTTCCGAGGCGCTCGGCTCAAAGGCCGGACCTTCACTAAAGGATCCTGCTTCCAGCGGCTCTGAGGCTCAGTCGGACTGGACTTTTCGCATAGGGGTCGCCCGAGAAGTTGGAAGGTGCCGCTCTTCAGGGAAAGTTTGGTCCCAGCGGGCGGCAGAAGGTTGCCCTCAAGAACACGATCTACCTGCTGGTCAAGGACCGCAAGGGGTGTATCACTACTCAGCCGGTGCGAGCGTTCAAATCCTGGAGGGGCTTGCGGTCCTTGGTGGAAGGAAGCCAGGGAGAGCTCGGGGATTCGATTTTCATTGGCCTTCCCAGCCAGACTGAGGCCATTGCAGCTTGCGAGGAGGCGGGATTCACTTTCCCCGCCCAGGTTGAACCATGAGCGGCGCTGCCAGCGCCGAAGAGGAGGAGTTTGTCGGTGTCCGGGACAGGCTCCTCTTTTCAGGTGGCCGGACCAACTACAATTATTCTGTTGGCAAGATTCCCTGCTCCGAAGCGGGGGAGAGTGCTGCTTTGATTGCGATTGCTGAACTAGGTGGTCGGTTGATTGTAGCTGTACCTGTGGAAGCATGGTCTCGAAAGATAGCATCCAGGAAGCTGTCAAAGATCGCGTTAGGAAAACCTATCCTTGTGGAAGCCATCGGCGCCTTTCCGGAGAACATGACGGTCCCTGCCCCCGAGGTGACAATCAAGTTGTGGGTCGGGGTGCTTGCGATGGAGCTGGAGAGCCAGGTCGAGTACGAGGCCGGGGCGGAGGCCGCGAAGTACCTCTTCAACCCTCAGGTGCTCCCCTTCGCCGAGGCTTTGGTGAAAATCGCCGACGAGCACTTCGCATTTACAACTGCCGAGTCCGGCGGGGAGGGGATGTTCAAGAGAATGTCGGCAGTGGAGAATGGGCTGCAGGAGCTGAAAAGCATGCTGCAGGCGTTGAACCTTGGAAAGGACGGGACAGCTGCGCCAGATGGAGTGGATCCTTTGCGAGCTGCCCGGCCCAAGACCAAGGTTGCTCTCCGAAGTGGTCTTTCAGGCCTGGACTCCTCCATGGTGGGAGGCTGAAGAAGCCGAAGACCCGGGCGGCTTGGCCCGAGTGCTGGTGGAGGATCTCGAGCAGGAGGACCTGGACGACGGGGCCGACGGCTTTGGCGGAGCGGAGGCCTGGGCCAACCCGGAGGGATCCAACATGGAGGCGCTGTGCTGCAGCTGACCAAGATTGTTTCGACTTTGGCAAAGCCCGGCCGCTCAAAGCCGGATCTCGAGGCTTTGTTGGACGGCGGATCTGGGTCGGCTTCTTCCGAAGGGCAAGGCATTGGATCAGGAAGGCGGAGCGCCGCTGCGCTTCGGATGCTCACCAAGGCCTACGAGGAAAATCGCCAGCTTATCTACCAGACGATCGAGAGACAGATGCAGCTGGATTTCCAGGTTTCCCCGCAGCGCCCAGGAATGCCCGATTCCTCCGGCGGTCATGGTACAGCACGAGGGTGGCTGACCGCAAAATCGCGAGTTGGAAACTTTCACACCCACATCCGCTGGGTGTGGATGATGGCGGGGGTGTGGGACGATCTACGACGAGGAGATCACGAGCATGCCCGAGCCAGGGCGGCACTTATGGTCGCGGCGGCGGATCAGGCCAGTATCGATCATTGATCATGGCTCCTGGGTCATGTCGGGCGTGGCTCTATTAGAGCCCCTTCCGCCCTTTCAGGAGTTCTCCCGGCACACTGTCCCCCAGCCTTCGGAGAGTCAAGCCAGTGCTTTGTACGACCTCCGTTGGACAGAAGTTTTTCTGCAAGTGCTTCGAGACCGGGAAAGCTTCAACGAGGCAAAGTCGAAGCTGGCGCAGAGCGGCAGAGGTCAAGGACGGCTCCGGCGTGGAGAGTGCTCGCAGGGGCAGAGGCCGAGGGCGCGGACGAGGAGGTGGCGCCCCCGAGGGCGAGAAGCCCCAGTGAGTGGTGGAGCTCGCGAGGGAGAGTGTGTGGGCCGCTTTCAAGCTTCTCCTTCGCTTACTTTTGCAGGCCCTTTGGAGAAGCAGAGCAGCGCTCAGCGGGAAGACGCGCCGGACGATTGTGCGGGGCATGTTGCTGGTTTGGGCCGACCCGAGCCGCTACGTGATCCTCGTGCTCCTGTTCGGCACGTTCCTGGTGCGGGTGCGGGTGCTGGTGATGTGGATCCTCAGTCGATTTTTCAATCCCTCTGGGCTTTGGTTTTTAATAACCGTAGTCCTCTTCTTTTGCTTCCAGCTGCCGTCGATCAGCCCGCCCACGCAGCAGTCGTGGCGACTTTTCTCCAAAGCAGTGCCGGGCCATCTGGCCTATGCCCCTGCCCTACGAAATCCCTGCCAAGTCTGAGATCTACAAGCTCGCTGGGGGCGACCTGAAGAAGGCCGTCGTTAGCTTGATTGTCATCGTGTTAAACTTTCTCGACTTGGGCTCCCCTCCCCGGGCTCCTGATGCCTGTCTTCCTGGAGGAGACCTTCACAGTGATCAGTGGGAGCAAGTTCGGAGGCTCGAGAGTTTCCTCGACGCCTGGTTGATGCTGGGCGTCCTTGGGCCCGAGGACATGGGGCGCACTGCTGGCAAAGTTGAGGACCTGGAGACGCTACTCGGCGATTTGAGCAAGTTCTCCGACCTGGCTCGTGATCATCAGCCTTTTGAGGCCAGCCCGGTCATAGCAAAGCTCCGACGACCTCATAGCGGGGCTTACAAGGAAGTGGAAGCGAATCGGCTTCAATTCCGTGGCTTTCCCGATTTCGATCCCAGAGCATATCTTGACCCCGTCAGCAAAAAGATCTACGACGAACCTTTCAGTACCTCCTTGCAACCTGAGCATTTCGAGGGAAAGCTGCCACATGTTCGAATCCATTGCAGCCGCGCCGAGAGACTCCAGCTGTTCACGCTTTTGGACAAAAGCAAGCGCATCAGACTGTTCAGGCGTTGCGACGTGAGGGCGCAGTTCGGTGCTGGAGTGTTCGCAGTTCTGAAGTCTCTTGAACTTGATCGGCTCATACTTGATTCTCGCCCTCACAACTTGTTGGAGACTCCTCCAGGACGCTTCATCCAAAGCTTGGGGGCCGGCGAGCTCCTCACCAGGTTCAGCTTGGAGCCCAACGAGGCCCTCTTTGCCTCGACCAATGACATTAGAGGACTTCTACCATCTGTTCAAAGTGTCCGAAGAACGATCCAGAAGAAACTGTTTAGTTGGAGCTGTGCACCCAAAAGAAGTTCAACACCTGCAATGCTTCCAGGGATGGATGTTCGGCGAATCCGAGCTCTATGTCTCCCTCGCCTGTTTGGCTATGGGTGACACCCAGGCCGTGGAGCTGGCGCAATCATGCCATTTGGGTTTGTGCTTGCAGCAGCAGATTGTGGATGAGGGTTCGCTGTTGGCTATGTGCCTACCTGTCCCTAGGACTAGGACTCCCACGGCCGTCGGCATCGTCATTGATGACTTCGTCGCTTTATCAAAGGGGCGAAGGCCGGGCTTGAGAGATGAGACTGGTGCGAAGCCGGACGGCGAGCCCACTTTAGGAGCCCAATTAGCGGACGTTGCGCAGAGAGCTTATCGGGACGTACATCTTATACCTCACGAAGCAAAAGCTGTGAGAGATCAATTGCAGGCTGAATTTTGGGGGCTACAACTTGACGGAGACCGAGGCTTCGTGCGGGGATCACTTCGCAGAGCAGCCCCTCTCTTGAAGATCATTGTTCTTGCGCTCCAGTTAGGTGTCGTCAGTGTTTCGCTGCTCGAGGTTATAGCTGGTGGGCTCATTGCTTTGTTCACTTTTCGGAGAAGGCTGATGTCATTGCTGGAAGAGATCTTTGAGGTGATGCGTGGAAGAGCGCAGAGTGCTGTGTTGGCAATTGGGCAAAAGTTGAGAGACGAGCTCCTTCTCATAGCGGTGTTGCTGCCCTGTGCAGTGACCGATATCAGAGCTGAGTTCGCGCCCGAGGTTTATGCAGTCGATGCTTCCATGTGGGGCGAAGCTGTTTGCAGTACTACAACGAGCAGCGAGTTCGTGAAGGAGCTCTCGAGGCACTGCCTTTCGAAGGGAGTGTGGACCAGACTGCTTTCACCTCTCAAGGCTCGGGCGAGATGCTTTGGCGATTTGGAGACTTCGGAAGAATTGCCTGGTGGCGAGCGTGATGCTTTTCGTTCGCACCCGCTGTGGACCAAGCTTGCTACCACCCTGCATTACAGACTCAGGTGGAAGACTTGAAGAGGCGAGCGGGTTGCAGACGGCACATCAACGTTGGAGAGGTTCGGTCTTTTCTGCGTGCCGAGCGTCTTTCAAAGCTGAAGCATAAAAGCACGAGATCAGTTTGTGGTGGGGATTCTCAGGTGGCTCTAGGGTGTCTCCTCAAGGGGCGCTCCGCCAGCAGAGTCCTCAACAAAGAATTGCGACAGTCCCTTCCCCACCATCTGGGCGGAGGCCTATACAGTCAGTACATGTACTATGCCACCAGCATCAACCCAGCAGACGGTCCCACAAGGCTATAGGTCTGTACCTGAACCTTCCGAGGTGCCTCTGCCGTGGTGGAGTCAAGCTCTCAATGGGCATTTCTCTGGACTGGATGCCTGGTTGGAGGACTTGCGAGTGGATCCTTTTAGTTTGTCGGGTCTTCCTTCGCTCGAAGAACTTAGGAAAGCTGGAGAGAGGGAAGTGATGGTCCAAGTGAAGTTGGGCCATTTGAGAAAACCAAAGAAACTCAGAGAACTGCTCAAGCTGGGGCGATCTGCCTCCCGTGTGGACCTTCATACGGGTCGAGGCGTCGAGTCCGAGAGGGATTTGGGTGACCAGGCCTCGACGACTGTTTTGGAACGTCCCTGTGTAGGGACTTTCATCTGGCCTTGTGGTATCGATCAAAGGCTTTGTGCGGCTCGGCCGGGGTTCCTGGATCTCTTTTCAGGTGCCCGCGGCGTCGCGAGAGAACTAGCCCGTTTGTCTGGACGCTGGGTGCTTTGCTACGACATAAAGAAGTGTGCAGCGCAGGATTTGAGTTCATCCGAGGTGCAGACCGAAGTGTTAGCTTGGTTGCGATCTGGCTGGGTGGTTGGTCTCGGTGCCTCCCCGGCGAGCGGCTCCTTTTCTGCTGCGCGAAAGCCATCACTTCGTTCAGCACGGTGGCCGCAAGGACTGCCAGGGCTATCTTCCGCTTCGGCACAGAGGGTGACTGATGAGAACAAGTTGGCAGCTTTTGTTGGCACGGTGATCTCCGAGTGTGTAAGTGCTCAAATTCCTTTCTGGATTGAGAATCCTCGGTCATCCTATCTTTGGCAACTTGACTCTTTTGCCCAGCTCGCGAAGTCTCCTAAGGTTGGCAGTTGGTGTGTAGACTACTGCGCGTATGGAACGCCATGGCGCAGGCCCACTCAGGTGCTGACGTCTACGGTGCTCCGTGGCCAGAGCACGCTTTGCCCAGGATGTGACCGGCATGTTCAGCTTCGGGGGCGATCGAGGATTCATCGGCTCTCCATGACAAAGCTTGCGGAGCCTTTCCCTCGAGGTCTGAGTCTTGTCTTGGCCATGAGTCTCTCAGCTGCAAGTGGGGACAGACCTGAGTTCCGAAAGTTGGATGCGACGCAGTGGGCCCGTTGTCTCAATGCGCGCATCGGTGAAGCAAGCAATCCTGGGCCTGCTTCTCGCAATGCTGCTGTCCGCGCCCGAGAACGAGCTGGTCAAGCGCTGAATTCTGTGCCGCTGGTTGAGCCTAAGACCGAAGCTTTTGAAGTTAGGCTTTGGGCTGAGTTTGAAAAGTGGGTCTTCGTTGACTGTGCGGAGGACGCGGGCAGGACCCTCTTAGGTTGCTCCGGTACAGCGGCTCCTCTACTTGGCGAATATGGAGACCACTTGTTCCGTGCGGGCGCCCCGCTCAGTACCTACAGGCATTTGCTGGCCTATGCGCAACGGCGACTTACTGATTTCTGCCTTGTTGGGACATGGTCTCGAGGTGGGAATTTCTCGAGCCCCTTGTGCACAGGAGACCTCTACCAAGATCCCTTTGCCATGCCATGGCCAGCGTCGCCTTTGCTTGGGGTTGGCCTCGCTTTGGCCTGGTCCTCCTGATCTGCTTCGCTGGGATGATGCGCATAGGCGAGGTGCTCCAGGCCACGCGGCTCGACCTTGTCCTCCCCGTTGACCTGCTCTCGGAGGACGAGTCCCGGCTCTACGTGCGCATCCGAGCTCCGAAGACTCGCAGGCGAGGTGGAGGACGACAGCAGCATGCTACTGTCTCTGATGAGCCACTGGTTCGTGCTTGTACTGCTGTCTTTGGGCGCTTGAAGCCCGCTGAGCTTCTTTATCCTCTGTCTCCTCAAGCTTTCCGCCGACGCTGGGATGATCTGCTCTCTGCTCTGCGAGTTTCGCCGGAAGTGGGCTTGACTCCAGCCTGTGTGCGAGGCGGTGCTGCTGTGGAGGCTTATCGGCGCGGTGTGCCGATTCAAAACATACTTTGGAGGATGAGGCTACAGCATCAACAAACACTTCATCATTATCTTCAAGAACTCGCTGCAGATGCGGTTATTTCTCTTTTGCATCCGTCCAGCAAACGATCGATTCATTGTGCGGCGTCTTTGTTGCCGCACTACTTGGCCACTCTTTTCTCTGCAGCTGCCGGGGACCCTTGACAGGACACTGGGTGCGAAGCGCCTTTCGTTTGCCCCGAAACGGCCCGCTTACAACTGGTGGAGTGCTTCCTTCTTTGTCTGCAGACTTCATCGAAAGCGGATCGCTCCTTCTTTCTGAGCTCCCCTTCGAAGTCAAGTTTCAGGTTGGACTGGCAGCTCCTTCACTTTTGAGTTTCCTTTCGAAGTCCAGCTTAGTTCAGACAGAGCTCTGCCGCTTATGCGGCGCACCGAAGTACCAGAGGGCTGTGCAGCTAAAAGGTGCGCAGCCGGGACGCCACTGAGAGCAAGCACACAACATGTGAAGCATGTTTTGTGCGACAGCGATCAGTGGCAGCTTTTTGGGCCCTCCCGCCTTGCCCGGAGTGCTTCCTTCTTTGTCTGCAGACTTCATCGAAAGCGGATCGCTCCTTCTTTCTGAGCTCCCCTTCGAAGTCAAGTTTCAGGTTGGACTGGCAGCTCCTTCACTTTTGAGTTTCCTTTCGAAGTCCAGCTTAGTTCAGACAGAGCTCTGCCGCTTATGCGGCGTACCGAAGCTTACCAGAGGGATGTGCAGCTAAAAGGTGCGCAGCCGCGACGCCACTGAGAGCAAGCACACAACATGTTCATGTGTGTATCTTTTTTGCATGGTTCTGCGCTGGGGCCCCTGTGTGCTGAGTATCCTGATGCGATTGTTAAGCTCGATTGACCAGAACAGCAGCCAAGCAGGAGACTCTGCGACGCCACTTCGTGGCTCAAGGGACACAGCAGCCAGAGAGTAAAAAGCGTGCAGCCATGCAGTGAGTGCAGCGATATCTCCTTCCGCTACAGTTGGCAGCGGAGCCCTGGTTCGTACGGACCGAGGGCGCCCTGAAGACTACCCTGCGCATTCGTGTTCGCGCACTCCTGTGAAGGTGCTAGCATGGAAACTCCCTGGGCGACTCAGGTCTCTGGATGGGGATACGAATGGGATTGGCCACAGTCGTGGCACGGGGCCTGGAATGAACCAGGCCAGAACATGAGCTACATGACGAGCGACAGCACGACGCCGGCTCAATCCTCTTCACGGGATGCAGGACTGCCTGGGGAAACGGCGAGTCCTAACACTACTCCAGAGGCTGCGGCAACTCTTGCCGGGGCTAGCGCTGCTACGACTTCGGTCCCTACTACGCGATTGGCGGCCTCCTCTGGAGGTGCAGATGATCCTATGGCTGTGGACGATCCCTGGCTTCAGGCGGCTCAGCAGCTTGTTCGGATGACGACCCGGAATTCGGGTGCCGGACAGGAGACCTCCAATGTGGCCACGACTGGCATGATGGGAAGCGCAGGCGCGGCGCATCAGACGGCCGCGGCCTGGCCTCAGACTTGGCCTTCGTTTGCGATATCCTATGTCGGCACCGCCACCTACGATGACAGCTGGGGTCTTTGGTCCGGCTCTCCGACCACCCGAGCTAGGTCATGGCGGCATGCGCGGAGCTCCTCCTGGACAAGGCGGCGTTCCTCTCGGATTACCCGGTTCAGCTGGTCCTCTACTACCCGATCCGGGACACGGCGGACGTCACGGAGCCTTGCCGGGACTTGGAGACATTCCCCTGGATTGCAAGGCTCGATGGCTTGGCTGCCAGTCCTTCATGGAACTCCGGAGGGCCTTGCGGACCAAGATGGGGACCCAATCAGGCCTCGGGCATGCTCCCCTCGAACTACAAAGGGGAGTACTCGGATCCTCCCTCATGGCCGGGATGGTCATACAGGCGCCAATGGGTGACGTCGATCAGGAGATGGAACAAGCAGACCGACATCCCGGTGTTTAGAAGGGCTGAAAAGGTTCTGAGAACATTGGGTTGGGAGCTCCAAGTGGATTTCGAGCACTTGACGGAGGCCCAACTCAGCTCCGAGTACTACCTCGAGTACATCTTGCAGATCATTGAGATGAAGGCCGGAGTTCGAGAGGATGACGAGAGAAGGCAGGCCTACCGCCGGGTGATGCACGACGTCGGTAGGCGTCGCGATGAGACTCTGGCCCAGTACTCTATGAGGCGCCTTCGAGACTTCACTCGTGCAGCGTCATTTGGAGTTCAGTTGCCGAACGAGTTCCGAGCGGCGATGCTGAGAGAGGGAGCCGGGCTAAGTGAACAGGGCCTTCAGAATTTGACGGCTCTGATGCAAGGCCGTGACAATGAGGTTGATCTTCTGGCGGCTACCTTGGCCAGGATGGATCCGCGGACTGACAAGGTCTCTGCCTTCGTGGATCCGGTGGAAGCGCCAGGCAGCGCTACCTTCATGGCCGACCTCGACCAAGGCAACGAGGACTCTTCCGACACCGAGGAGGGGATCCCCCAGGAAGTCCTGGAGGATGAGAGCGTGCTCGCCGAGCTGACCGAGATGAACTTCACGGAGGAGCAGGCGGCCTATGTGTTCGTCATGGTGGAGAACAGACCTCCGTTTCGCCGGAGGTCCTGGAAGGAGAACAAGAAGTTCAAGGCAGATATGCGAAAGGACCGTGGAAGCTTCATGAAGGGCAACTCTGGCGGTTCTGCGAACCGCTCCTCCTCCTCCGGACCGCGCGGCAAGCTCACCAAGGAGCAGCTGAAGAAGATCTCGAAGTGCAATACTTGCGGGAAAAGAGGCCATTGGTCCGAGGACTGTCGTCAAGCATCTACCACCGGAGCCACGACGGCCTCTTCTGCTGCGCCCCGGATGTCGGGTTTCTGCTACTTGGGAGGATCGAGTATCACCTCGGGATCCTCACACTTGAGCTTCATGGCCTGGGAGCCAGGGGAACGCGGCTTCTATGGAGGTCTCGGAGACGTTCCAAGCTGGGGCTATCTGACCATACCTCCTGGCTTGGCGATCTTGGACACTGGTGCTACCCAGGACATCATCGGCGACCACGCGCTCGCGGCTCTGGAGAACGAGTCGCCCCAGAAGGGCTTGCAGGCCATCACGGTTCCGACTCCATCCTCGGCGCCTACTGGGATAGGAGGGCAGGCGAAGGTCCTGAAGGCGGTTCTGATCCCGGTGGCTTTCGGCGGCATCCCTGGGGTCGTTCGCTTCATCGTCATCGAGGGGCCGGTTCCACCGCTACTTTCGGTCGGCTTGTTGGCCCACTTAGGCGTCCGCCTGGATTTGGAGACCGAGGAGATCCAATTCAAGGCTTTGGACATAAGCATGCCTATGACTCGCCTTCCGTCGGGCCACCGTACAGTGCCATTGCTACAGTGGGACGGAGGCCACTTTTCCACTCCCGATACCGCGTAAGAGCAGTATCAGCTTCCGGAGGATGCCTTTATGAAGAAGCCAGTCTCATCCGCATATACAAACAAGGGATCGTACTGTGTCGGCATGTCAGGCAAGCTCGAAGCCACCGATGATTCAAGCCTCAAGCCTGAGAAGCCTGTGAAACGCGTCCGATTTCAAGTGCCTGTGGACTCATCGAGCATGCAGTCGGAAGCTCTGTCAGGATGTAGGTCTGTGGAACAAGGGGTGAAGCATGAACTTTGTGACCGCGCCGCCTCCATTCCAGCTGCTCAAATGGGCAATAGCATTGCTTCACCGAGCTCTCAATTCGATTTTCCCCGCGACCGTGATCATGGAAGCCTCGTCTCGATCGACGAGCGGCGCGGGCGGCATTCTTCCGGTGGAGATGCGCTGGAGAAGCCTTGTGGCCAGAGTGTTCCAGATGTGGGAGATCGTCCGCCTGGGATACCGACGCCTGGCCATTGCGGAGACGACGCAGAAAAGCGTGATGTCAGAGCGGCGCAAGTTTCTGACGGACGATGCTCAGGAGCCAGGCCGCTGTCTACACCCCGGAGTTCACATCAAGAGGGCCAACCAGTATGCGAGCTGGACGGTGTGCCCCAAGTGCTCGGCCAGGACCTCCTACACTCCGAAGTATCCTCGGTCCAAGGCGAAGGCGCGAGCAAGGAGGGACAATCCTCCCGAGACGGGGATATCCTATGCTCCTCCAGCGAGATCTTCCCTGGCGACATCTTCGACGACAAGGTCTGCGCCCCAGCAGGTGCCCGAGGCGACGATTCACCCGGAGCTCAACGCGACGCTTCAGGCGATGCTGAGCGGCTTCCGCGAGATGTCAAACTCTGTGAAGGAGCTGGCCCACGGACAAGGCCAGATGATGTTGATGATGCAACGCGGGCTGCAAGCCGATGTCTCGGGCATGAGTTTCGATCAGATGCAGGACCTGGTGAACAAAACGGTCGACGAGCACATGCAGGTCGACAACGAGGAGGACTCCCCTACGAGCTGGGCACCCGTGACGGCAGAAGAGAATCCCAACGAGCTGGACCTACCCGCCGGTGGCCACTGAGTATTACCTGGTGCGCCATGGCGTCTCAGCTGATCTCGTGGGTGCAAATGACTGAAGGGTTTCAGCTACAGGTGCGTCGAGATGGAGGAGACGATCACTGTTGGATGGTGGAGTGCGAGGTCGACCGAAAGGACCACGTCGAGGAGCCGGTTCCTGAACTAAGGCGTCCTTGGATTCAGTGTTCGAGGGGATGTGTGCCTAAGGGTGAGATAGTGCTATGGCATCGTCAACGGGGAGCTCGAGGAGAAGTGCTTAGTCAAGGTCCCGGCAGTCCTCCCCGGAACGACTCGTCCGGCCCGACCGAGCTGTGGCATTGTGAGCGACACTATTGTCTTATCCAGCAGGCCACGGACCCCAACTTCGAACTTCGAGGCTACGACGAGGATGCCAGGCCTTCAGACCACGGACCTTTTTGGCTGGTCCGGGCCCCTCAGCTAAGGCAGTGGATGGAAGCTCCCACAACCGCGGGAGTGGGCACCTCATCTATCGCCACGGAGGCCAGCGATGCACGCAAGGGTTTGATGAGACAGATGGCCCGGCAACGTGATCTACTACATCCTCATCGGGTGGACTTCGTGGAGCTCTATCAGGAAACGCCGGCCACATCCAGGCTACAGCTGCGCGGTGTGAAGACCGTGCCAAAGTCTGAACGCTTTACGGCCTCTGCGGGATGGAGCGTTACCAATGGACAAGATCGCGAGCGGTTCCGAAATTTTCTGCAAGGCAAGAAGCCCGCCATGCTGAGGGTTTCTCTTCCTGGACCCGCTCGAGACCGCGACGACTCTCATGCTCGAGTGATCGAGGAGATCCAGTGCGACTTTGGGCTGGAGGCAATGAAGCAGCAAGACGCCGAAGGAAGGGTGTTTCTTCTGGAGGCATCGAACGACCACGAGATGTGGCACGGGAGGAAGCTGCGTGATGCGTTTTGCCGGTCCAAGGTGATGATTGGGAAAGGTCTGAGGTCCACATGGGCAACGAACTCGCAGTCGCTTTATCGAGCTCTACGGCAAGCGACAGAAGACTCATCCACTTCATGCACCACAAGCGTCGGGGTCCAGGGAAGTGTTCCGGACTGCGTGGCTTCAGGTCCACGGCAAGCGACAGAAGACTCCTCCACTTCATGCACCACAAGCGTCGGGGTCCCTAAGAATACTTGTGCTTCGATGGTCGAAGGATGTGAGGTCCAAGAACCGGCCCATGAGAGTCTGGCGCGCAATCTGTTGGAGGCACAGGACTTCTCTTTGGCATCCTGCAGGCGGCTTTTGCAGGCGACCCAGTGGCCTTCGTCCTCGAGGAGAAGGAAAAGTAAAGCGGCTTCGGAGACCTACGTGCTCTTGGGCCAGTTCACATACGGCAAGTTCTCTGGTATCACTAAAGCCACTCGCCAGTTGAAGAAGGTTTCCCAGTATTTGAACGGGTTCATGACGTTCCATGGTGCTACTTCTCCACGATCCTCCTTGGTGATTTCGAGCGGAAACAAATTAAAGTACCACAAGGACGTGAATAACGTCGGGATGAACCACAGCATTGCCCTGGGAAAGTTCACTGGAGGCAGGCTCTGGCACGAGGACGAGGCCGGCACTGAGCTTCGAGAAGTGCTTCTTGGCAAGATGGTTTCTGGGAAGTTGTGTTCCCACCGCAAGAAATTGGTGACTTTCGATCCCAGAAAGTACCACGGAGTCGAGCCGTGGACCGGCGAGCGATGGAGTGTCACAGCTTTCCAGACCAGATCCTCAGTGGGTTTGGACACCGCCAGAGCTAAGGAGCTGAGCGAGTTCGGCTTCAACTTGGACGGCTCCGAGGCGCTCTTCATCTCTGAAAGTGATGCCACCAAGGCGCTGGTGGAAACCAGTCCGATTTGGAGCTTCTTCGACGGCGGCTCCAACATGTCCTACCCTGCGGTCCAAGATCAAGGTGATCAGGAGGAATTGAACGACGATGTGGAAGAGGAGCCAAGCGAGGAGAGCCGTGCGGGAGATAGGGAGGTGCTTTCCGAATCCCAAAAGAGTCTCGTGAAGAAGCTTCACGTGAACACTGGCCATCCTCCTCAGGATCGGCTTCTTCGAACTTTGAAGGCAGCTGGAGCCAAAGCATGTGTGCTGCGCTATGTTCGAGATGAGTTTAGATGTCAAATCTGTGATGTGAAGCGCGGTCCCGACCATCGCCGAAAAGCACACTGTCCCCGCACGTTCGCATTTAACAAGGTGCTCTCCGTCGACGTTTTCTACCGCCACTTCAGAGGCCAGAACATCCCGGTGCTGAATCTGGTGTGTCATGGAACAGGGTATCACATTGCCCAAAGAATCGCAGGAGGCCCAGGCACTCCGACAGCCAGCGCCACCTGGAAGGCTCTTCTCTGCTCGTGGATCAAGTTCCTTGGTCCTCCTCAGATGATCATGTCCGACGGCGGAAATGAGTTCAGGTCTACCTTCGAGAGGGGACTGGAGCAGTTGGGGATACTACATCATGTCACAGCCCCGGAATCACCGTGGCAGAACTCCAGGGCGGAGCGGCATGGCGGTTGGCTGAAGACCAAGCTACGACAGGAGGCGGAGGCCGGACAGCTGACGCTGAGTTCCCTGGACGAGTTGGATGACTTTATGTCACAGCTCCTGGCGGCCAAGAACAGATGGTTCAACACAGGCGGGTACACCCCAGTCCAACTGGTGTTTGGAGAGATGCCCCGAGTGCCCGGGGAGCTACTGACTGACGATGCTGGAGGATTGGTGCCGCTGTCGGATGCTTACCGAGATCCCGGAGGCCTCGACGAAGCTGGCGCTGAGTTCAGAAGAAGAAATGAGATTCGAGAACAGGCGAGGCAGGCAGCTATGCGGGCGACAAGCCAAGAAGTCATCAAGCGTGCAGCTCGGACCTCGTCGACGCCTTCTCGCATGTGGAGTCCGGGCCAATGGGTGTACTGCTTCCGTCGAGGCAAGGCAGGAGACACACTTCATCCAACTCCCAGGTGGGTTGGTCCGGGACTTGTGGTTCTGAACACTCGGTCGGTGGTATGGGTGGCGATGAGGACGAGGCTTTGGAGATGTTCACCGGAGCAGTTGAGGCCAGCATTCCCTTCAGAGGTGCTTGGCCGAGAGCTCGCCTCCGATCCCGGGTTAGGCGAACTTCTTCGTCAAGTGGTTTCTGGAGGTCAGACGGGTGCTGTGGACGTGACGCGCGAATTGCCTCCTCAAGATGAAGATCATTAGGGGTGTGCAGAGCTGCCTGTGGCCAGGACAGGCTTATCAAGAGCACTACCTTAGGATCCCAAAGTAGGTGCTGGAGGGCAGGCCTCCCGGTATAGGATATTCACTGCAAAACACTGTTTTCCAAAAAAAAATTCGCGAGCAACAACTCCATCCAACACACTTGTTGTGCAGCAGAACATAGTGTCGAACGATAGTTTTGCAGTGCAGACTATGGTTGTTTCAATAGTTTTGCGATGCAGCATATGGTATCTGAAATAGTTCTTGCGATGCAACATATGTTATCTGTAAAGGTGTTTGCGGTGCAGCATATGGTATCTGAAATAGTGTTGTGGTGCAGCATATGGTATCTGAAATAGTTTTGCGATGCAGCATATGGTATCTGAACTTGTTTTAGCGCTGCGGCATATGTTATCTGAAGTAGTTTTGCGTGGTATCTGAAATAGTGTTGCGGTGCAGCATATGGTATCTGAAATAGTGTTGCGGTGCAGCATATGGTATCTGAAATAGTTTTGCGATGCAACATATGGTCTCTGAACAATCTTTTTTGCGGTGCAACATATGATATTTGAAATTGTTTTTCGATGCAGCATATGGTATCTGAACTTGTTTTAGCGGTGCAGCATATGTTATCTGAAATAGTTTTGCGGTGCAGCATATTGTATCTGAAAATTTTTTTTGCGGTGCAGCATATGGTATGTGTAAAAAGTTTTGCGATGCATCAGGTGGCT